ACACTGTTTCAACGTAGATGACCATTCTAGAGCAGAGAACAGATGCTATCTCTTTCTAATATAGGTTAACTCCGTGTGCTAGATACGAGAAGAGCATGTTCCATGTTCCAGGTCGATGTGGTCGGTCGTGGAACAGTTGTTACGGTTGTTATTTTTTGAAACCTATTGTGTTTGATTGTTTCAATATAGCTATATGTCTCTACATACATGCCTTACCTGTACAGCGTACGCACTTACATACAGCGTCATGTCAAAATTTTTTTACAATAAATATATTATAATTTTACCCTATCTCCTTGGTAGATGGTTCAAATTACAATGCATATTTATAGGACTACCATTTCTAAAATCAAAGAATCAGAAAAAGATGCAATAGATTTCAGATTTTAATGTCAAATTATATTATCTAATAAGTACTATAAAAAATTAGTTTTGGGAATATAAAACATTAAAATATTTATTGTTTATAAAACTTCACTCCATGCTCTAAATGAGCGAGCTCTAAACGAATCGAGGGAAAATCGAACGGATGGCAAGTTATTGTATCATACTTCCATCTTGCTGTGTAAATAGACTTTATGTTATAAAATAGTATGAATTGACTGAATTTTATATTTTTATCTTATATTCTGTCGCTAAAACTACGTGAATTAAAATAAAATGTATTATATACTAATTGATAGAGAGGAAAAACTTGATTGCTTGTAATGGATGAACTCAAAAATACTTAACCAATTTTAAAAAATTTTTCACTTATATAAAGCTACATAAAGTAGCGAGTAACATAGGCTATATATTATTTACGAAAATTCTATCTGCCCGTGCAAGCTCAGCTTGGCTGAGTAACAAACATTCAAATATAATTGCAAACCTTCACTTTAGTGTACCTAATGTAATTTGCATTTATTGGAAATTATAAGCTAAAATTCCACTCAGTATTATAATCATAACGAGAAGTTTCCTGTACTACAACTACTTGTGTAAGGATATCGCCCACACATATCAAGAGTTTCTAGGTGGTTTTCGTTATACACGAAGGCTTCTTAGTGACAGTAACGTATGAAAATAATTTTCGAGAGAAATATTTAATTGAAAAAAAAAAATTAAAACTTAGGAAACAAACGAGAATAAAGTAAAAAACTAAAATTTAATAAGTCTTATAATGGTCAATTTATATCAATTTACATATAGTCCTATTATACTTATATTTTGTCAAGCATGATAAAAATAATGCATTAAGGAATAAAGTGCATTCACAGTTTTTATAAAAATATATAGCTGAATAAATACATTAATTACATATTATGTCTAAAAACAATATATAATTAATAATTACGATTTACTACTACTAATAATCAGAATCAATCAACACGTCAAATTATTATAATAATTGTTTTATGTTAACTACCATTTAATTAGATATTGGCCCTTGTGACATTAATAAATGTAATTTATATAATACAGTTTATTGTATACAGTGATAACGAATGTCATAATAAGACTTAATAATATTATTATACATTGTGTACATAGAAATGTAACAATTGTGATATAAGTTTTGAATTGTGACTGGCAGCAGATTTGTAATTATTTCGTTATCTTTATTAATTAATACAAAGAGATGAAATTATTCTAAATATAAAAAATAATGACTGATAATGAAGCTACACAAATTATGGAAAATAAAATTTAATTCCCTACAATGATATAATTCCATTCATTATGTGTATACAGCATTCCAGGATATTTAAACTTAAGAAGTACTTCTTAGACAGTGATGTATTTTCTGTTATCTTTAAGGACCTGTGCCAACGAGGGACTACCTTCAGATGTTTAGAAAAGATTTGAATTGTACCATAAATATTGATTTTCGCGAACAACAAGTTCCTTATCTATACATCTTTACAGTAGTTATATGTAGAACGGAGCGAAATATTGAACCCTATACCCCTAGTAAATCCTTCCGCTTAGAAAATAATATTATTAAAATTTATTTAAATTTACACACATAAAAAAAAATAGTTGCATCGTCACCTTACCTTTTTAAGTTTGTTGAAAAATATTATTTTATTTTAACATAATTTTTGTATATTTATTTAACACAGGACTTATGATAATGATTTTTAATGGGAATGTACTTTTTGAATATAATTTAAGAAACGAACTTTACGCTCAGTTCTGATCTGGGTGTTCTGGGTTGTATCCTTATATATTCATCGCTTGGATAACACAGGATATCCCAGCATGAGGGTCAGGCGATTGGTGATTGTATATACTTATTTACTTTCGAAGCTTCGGAAATAAACTTTTGGGATAGTTATGTAAAAACATAAAATACAATTATATAAGTTTCCGAAAATTTTTACTAATTATTTTAAATAATGTATATTTCTTTATTGTTTTTACGTTTTGAAGTTACTAATTTCTAAATTTCATATTCATCTTTAATGTCTTTTTATTAAAATTAAAAATACCTAAAAAATCAATGTTAAATCGAGCATAAAAAAAGCTATTTGTACAAATTTCTTGAGATGTTCATATCATATGGTCTTTCACTTTTCTGCATAACTAGCTTCAGTTAAAACTTCAACTAAAACAAGTTGTTTCATAACTTTTTTAAATAAAAAGTAAGCATTCTAAAAACATATTAAGATTAATATTTGAAGCAGAATAAAATGCGACAAAAACGTGACCATTGCTTACTGTCATCGTACTCCAATCGGTAATTTGCATTTATAATGTTGTAAGAAAGCTGGTTAAAAAGAACCTTCATGATAGATCAGCTATGAGGTATAGGGCGAATGTAAAATTGAAGGGGCGGGGGCGGGGCGAGTTACTGAGACTGACTCTTGAAATACAGTTGACCGCAATGACGGCTAACTCGTAAACGAGCACTGAATGATAAAATGCAATGTAATGGAAATAGCAACAGTACATTGCTATGTATATAGTCATCTGATAATATTATGCGTATGTCTGAGGTCGAAGCCAAGAGTTTCTTTATGGATAAGGAAAGTGTAAAAAGCAAGTGCCCATCCTATGAGGGACCCGACGACATACTTATAACTACGTACATAAAAATTAGATAACTTAATACAATAAGTATACAAAGTGAATTCGAAACCATTTACATACATTTAGAGGAGTGCCCTACTAGATGCACCGTGCTTGATACACTAGGAGTGTATGCAAAAATTAAAATATTACAATGGGTCGTCTTACGACCTATTTGTTTAGGAGAAATTGTCTGTTTTACAGATAAATAACTCTCTTATAAAGTTGCTAACGATTTCAACTTCAATTAGTGTGCATCATATAAGCTATGAGTATCATAAAATAATATTATCCATAATGACTGCCATATCGTTGTAATTTACTGCGGATAATACAGAAGAACTGCACCTATCTACTTTACGTAGTACTGGTATTGTGTACCTATGTAGCATCACGCTACAGACACGGAATCCACAACCTTTATGAATATTTGTGCTAACAATGTTTATAATACTAATTAAATCGTATCTAAGAAATGAGCAATATTTAAAGTAAAATACACTTACAAATTCCAATTAGTTACGAGAAGATTAATAAAATATTTGTTAAAGAGCTTAAAACATTTGCAGAACGATTTATTTTAGTGCATATTTACATTGTAATAAAATGTACATGATACCGTATTTTCATCTTAGATGATTTTCGAATAGATTATAATAAAAAATTAATACATACATATGTGTTTTAGTGTGTATTTTTAGGGGTTTTGTTATGTATGCCCAGCGTAAATATATATACTTTTTTGTCCTTAAAAAATAAGATTTGAAAAGATAAGGAAGTGAGTTCATTATATTATAAACGCTATAAATATTTTTAAATTAAATAATAAGCGAAGCAACATTGTGATTTTATGTCGCAGGATATAATTCTTATATTCCTTTTCAATTTTGAAGACTACATTCGTGTACATTTCATACCAATATTAGGTTATCTTTTTACAACCTAAACTACTAAAGGCCTCAACTTTTAAAGCAAACGAGAAGTTAAATATATCAATTTTGTAACAACTTGGCTTCAATTTCGAATATAGACAATAATTAGTTTTAACGGCGGAAAACATTTTATACCTCTTTATAGAAATGATCTAAAATTCTATATAGAGTTTTAAAAGTGCGCATAAAATTATTTATTTGTTGGTTAGCAAAAAAATTAATCGAACCGTATTTACTAGTAATTAACCATGAACATTAGGTAAGGGAGCCAGTGTGGAGGTGTAGTCTACCTGACAGGATAAACTGCTAGCAAATCAGGTACTTACACTAATAACTCCAGTACTAACATTCCCTAGCTGTCTGTTCTCAGAGCTCAGTTTAGGACACCCTTAAAGGGTGGAGATGAAGCAACCTAGATACAACGAGCGCAGAGTAATAAACTATAACAACTATAAAAAAAAATATGTCGATGAGGACGTCTGGACGGAATAATGCAGTAGGCGGACATGTTTTATAGCGATAATCCAAAGATGTCAGCGACAATTTTAATCAAATTTATAAGTATGTAATTGCTCAATTTATAAATAGTAAAAAATAATATATTTACTTTATCATCTAGCAAAGCCTATATAGGAGCTATTTCGGTATTATAAGATGCAGGGTTTACGTCACAGTGGCATGTCACAGAAAAATAAACCAGTCGAACTACTGCAAGATTTGACCTACTGTGGTCTACAAACATCACACACGGGATTAATACTTTAAGCATGCACTTACAATTTACACGATTACAAGATTGAAGTCAGTATATAAGTATGACATTTTTTTTTTAATATTATTAAATGAAAAATACAATTATTGATGAAGAAAATAACTTTTACTTTCCGCCGTTAAACAGTTCGTTCTACGATGTCACCATAATAATTTCATCTTCTTACTCTAACGTGTTTCTATATGGGATGCGGAGAAAGAGAGGGCTGCACCCGACAGAGTGACGTCAATAGTTTATTAAAAAATAAAGAAAAAAATATTACGGTGACATTTATTAATGTATTCATATACATACTATACACGAATACAAGCACCTAAATTATCCATGATAATTAACGTATTAAACGATTAAACGAATCTCATGTATTAACTATGTCAGTCGAATGGTAAGAATAACTCTAATTATTCATATTAATAGCGTACTAATATCCAAATTTTTCATTAATAGATATTCCGAAGGAAAAATACTTTCTAATAGCTATTTAGAAACAAAGTCTAAAAATATTACAATTTATTCGCGAACAAATGGGATTACTTTGTAATACTAATTAATATGTAGTGTCGCGAGATGTTTGCTTTATATATATTCTATGAACTCATTATTTTAACATTACGATCAGCTAATTAGAGCCACATTAAATCACCCTGAAGCCAGTAGATATCACAACTATCTAACACAAAGATGATCAAAGTACAAGCCAAAATCCATTGACAATATTAAAACTGAACAACTATCCTAGAGGAGAATGGTTGAGAATTAGTTTATTCTAAATTGATGTAATCGAATTGGGATTCAATGGAAACTATATTTCATAGATGTAAAATATAATCAAATTTATATCTTGGCGTGATTTCGATTTGATCCCCAAAGGATTCCGTCGGAACTCAACATGCAAGACTAAGTTAGAGCTTAATATGACGATATGAGAAATATCTAATTGATAAGTGACGCACCAAAACGTTTGATAATAATTTTGAAATTAAATAGATAATTTTGGAATTGACTTTACGATCGAATTAAAGTTTCACCTAGAGACAACAAATTAATGTTACAATTACACAATTTGACGCAATTATATGATTTCGGTTTAACTTAAAATCGATTTCGTCAAAAGTTTGTCTGTATGTTTTGTTTGTCACCTGAATGTTTTATGCGAATGGCAAAAAATATTTTTTTTTTAACGAAATTAGTAATTTATTAATAAGATTGACATAAAAGTTATAGCATACAGTAAGATAATTCATACAAACACCTTTTTATTCTATATATTCATTACACACTTATGTAGATGAATATAGATTGATTTGCAAAGATATGCAAATGGATGTATTCCCACAGTTTTGCTCAGCGGAATAAAGATAAGATTTTGTATTTCTCTAAGATACAGGACATGGTCTATCTACGTACTAAAACTCATTCAATATCGTTCAGCCATTAATCATATTTAAGTATTATCTATGTTTTAGTACATTTCAATGTTATTATTTCTCCATTATGGCTATAGTAGGATTTCAACCTATGTTCTTTAGGAAAGTTGTTCAGTTGTACAAATATTATACTTACCTAGCTATTCGGCTTGTTATATATATCCTAGCGTTATACGCTTTATATGAACACCTAAAGATAGAATAACATCTAATAATTTCCATTTAATTTCACAAACTATTCACGAATCCTTGACTTCTAATCTACCGAACATCCTAATTGATATCCTAATTCTTGCATAAAGTTGTCGTAGAAACTTAGAGGCCGACCTAATTATGAATCAATGTCACCAATTAAAATTTTTGTAAAACTTATTTCAATATGAGACAACCCGACATTTAATGTTGCTTTATGAACCCTTCTACAAATCAACTATGCTTTAACACTGATATCTCTATGTACTACATTTCAGGGAAATAAGATAATAAGAAAGTTGACATCAGAACTTCATTGGCAATACGCTACTGAATGGATGTTACGAGAACAACTACTATCAAATAAATATTTATAGAAAGTTCATAAACATATGTACATTTTTAGTACTGGGTCGAATATTTAAATACAATTTTACATAAATGTATTATTGAGTATGATCTAATCGCCGCCATATTTTTTTCTCGGAATAAAAAGTGTATCACTCGGTTGGTAAAGTTTTACTTTCGAATATTGATCTGAAATAGTATCTGTGTAGTAAAAATATTTTTTGCTCCCCTGTGGTATAATCCACTATTTAATAGTTGTGTTAGGATTATGTGCAGAGTATAACTTAAATAAATAAGACATTCTTATTTAAAAAAATATGTAATATCGTTTATACATTATATTTTAATTGTAAGAATAACCGGATTGATTTTCGTGTATATTTTTGACAATATTTGGACCATGATTAATGATATTGGTTGTTCTTAAAACTAAACGCTTTTTTCCGTCAAAAATACTAGTAAATCCATACGGTTTCTGTTCTTACAATTAGAACATTGGGGTCGATATTGAGGCGCGATTTCTCTATACTTATCTTTTAACCTAACATTTAAATTTGATAAGTTCGCGATATTACTGTTTTGTGGACCATCACAAACTAAAAATATAATAATATTGATTTAATCTGCTCGTATTAGAAAATTAGTTCACATTAGTCCTTACAATAAAGAATTCACTGTGATATCAAATTCAAATTTGAACTTCAGAGATTGGTTTAGAGAAATGACTCTATTTTTATTTTTGCAGTGTCCATTCGTATTATACGAATTTACTGTATTTCATTATACATTGCAAAACTTGGTACAAACGTTTTATATTGATGATATTATTTTTTTATGATCACAGTGTGTTTATACCAAGGACTATACAATACTGTGATAGATGTATACAACATGTTTTGAATGGTAAAGATGCTGATATGAATGTGGTGACATCGCATGAATATACTGCAACGCTCCCATGATACCCCTTATCGGTTGCTAATTCTAAGGACCAAAGTCAGTTTTCTGCTCCCAGTAATTTCAGTAACTGCATTAAATTAATTAATTAATCCAATCGGAACATGATGTATAAATACGGGAGACACTCAAGCGACGAGACGAGAGAGTTTTGGGCTCTATCACAAAACTCTATTTAGTTTTTAAGTTGTCACCGCAAAATGATTATTTATTTACAGTATACTGTGCACACAATACTTTATATAATTATGCTGTAGAAAGGCTTAAAGATTTAAAGAAATATGTGAAATTTAATTAATATGGCAGAGCATCTCATTGTGATGTTTCAAGTATATACCTAATGCTAAAATAATAATAAAAAAAGATAAAACAATTGTAATCAAGTTGTCTGCAAACTTCTTACAACAATACAAAACATCAACAGACGTATTCAGAAATAATCTTATTTATACAGTAATAAAAAAATTTCAGTAGTTCATTACACAATATACTCAATTTTTAAATAGAGAGCATTTGAATGTATAAATTTGAAATCATATGAAAGCATGCAGGATAATATTTAAAATTTATGGAAGCTTAGTCAGATGTCAACTAATAATATATAAATAACTAAAAATATATAAATAGAAAAAAATATATACAAATGGTGCTAAGTTGATACTGAAATTTATCAAAAGCACAAAAATTTTTTGATAACAATGTGTGCATAAAAGGATATATGTTTATGTGATAATAAAATGGTGATTAAACAGTTTTTTATTTTACTTTAGGAATAAACTACATATTGTAAATGATCTGGAAACTAGTTTCAAGTTTCCAATTTGAAGTGATCATTATAAACAATTGTGTATAAAATTAGATGGTAAAATCATTGTCATACATGATTTTAATGTGCCCCAACCTGATATTATAATAATCGTAAAAAACTAGAGAATGTCTATGTTTAATAACAAAGAATTAATAAATTAAAGTATTCAAACTCTGATATTGATAAATCAATAAGTTGACCAATTTATTAAAAAAGTATATTTATATATACTGTGTTACAAAATGTGTGTGCTGTTAAACTGAGTATTGATAAATAAATGTTCTCTGTTAGAGTTACAGTAATTTTACTTACAACATAATTTTATTGTATTACACAATCTTTTGGACTAATTGGTACGGATTTATGTTACGGTAGCGACGGCGCACTATTGTAATACTGGCTGAACTAATTTGAATACATTATAAGAGCCAGCATGCACGGGTGAGTTGTTTCTGACAAGTCATCAGTCTTTACGATTATAATAAAAATTAAAAACTAAGACGAAAATATATTTTTAATTTTTACACTCCAATTGTATCTTAAGTAAAACTATAATTGGTTCTTTAGTGTGTGTTACTCACATAGTAAATATATAAATAGATATTTTATTTAATATTTAGTTTCAAATGTAAATATTTTTGTTGTAGTTATTTTAAATTTACTTTGTCCAATAATAAGTTACTTATATTATTTTACATAAATATACACGTAATCTGCATATAAAAGCATCTCTTAATTATATTACAGAGAAGGATAAAAAGTAGAGTGTAACGATATAAAAAAAATCTTAGACGAAATAAATTCTAAAATAGAGTCCAGTGGTGGATAAATTGGTTAATGTATATCGTAATAAACTGTATATTTATTTTTGAATTTCGAACTGGACAGTAGATTCATAGAAAATTATTTTTTTAAAATATGTCCCGGGGGCGTATGGTATGTGTTCCGGCTATAGAATAGGCTACTCCTTTCTTTTCTAGACTAAGAAGGGCAAGAGATGGGCACCAGCGTCCCTCTTAGAGCGTCCTTCTGCAGTTAAAACCTAACTAAATAAAGTTTAACTGCAGTTGCCAACCCGCTAGCCAAGCTTGGTAACTACTCGCAAATTCTCCATTTATAGGGGGGGGGGGTACGTTCGGCAATGCACAGTTAACGGCTGATTGATAATGTAACCACAAAATTCTGAGCAAATATAAAAACAAAATGGTCCACGAATACGATGAACGGATAAGAGAATTATTTACTTTCAACGATTGACCGCCTATGCCGGCTCACTAAGTGCTCTTCCACGGTATGTTTAAAGTATCTGAGGTTATAGATGAAGGAAACATACACGGGATACACGATTCCAAAATTTTATGTCACGATTCACGTAAGAGTTGGCAAACTTAGTTGTACACAGAGGCGATCAATCGTATATGGATGAAGTCAATGGCCCATTCTCGCTGTGGAGTATCGGAAAGGGGAGGGTGAAATAAGGGAGAAGTCATGGAATAAGCGGTAGAAGATATTGAGGGAGTAACTTAGGCCGAACAAGCCTGTTAAGACGGGACACAACTCGGGTGCACAATGCCTAAAGTGAAACGAAACACAACGGGCACAGAGACCCGTTGCTTGAAGCCAGATTTAGACACGGACTGTGGTACGTGGTTGTCCACTTTTCAGAGAAGCATGTCACGTCTCGTCACATCATGTTTGGAGCGCTGCCACAAGTTACGAATTGCAGTTAAGCTTTTGATGTTTTGAGAGGAACGCTGCTGATCATCCCTCGACCGTTAAGTTTCCTTAGTCGCCTCTTACGACAACCATTGGAAAAGAAGAGGTGGCCTATTCTATGGCGGGACTAAAATATTAACCGAAAAATAAATATAATAATTATTCAGAGATGCTTATAATTAAGTTCACTTCAAGTAAAAAAATATATTTATTTATTTATTACATTTATTGTTCAAGAAGCTATATTAGAATATTTTGCTTTACTCTCGATGTGAAAATATATACTATTGTCATATCATAACATGAGCGTGATTATGTAGACTCACGTGGGCTGGATAGGACTGATGATATTATTACAGCGACAAATGTCACCCGTGCACGCTCAACTCTCGTGTACAACGAATTATTTTGTATTAGTCTCTCTAGCGGATATCGGGGAACGGCACAAATCTATAGCGTGTCGCTATCCCAACTGATACCTGACGCACGTCAAGAAGTCCCGGGGGCGCAGGTCGAACACTTGGTCTTCTAATTCCTGTTCCACATCGTCCTCGCATTGCATGTGTGTTTGTGACGGGGTGCTGATTCTGGTGGGGGTGGGGGATTCGTCCAGGGTGATGTTGGGGCTGGGTGACTCGCTTCGCTCCCGGCTGTCGGCCGAGCTCCGGGAGCGAGACTTGTCCTGTCATGTGTCCTCTTTCCTGATGTTTAGTATGGCCGCTCTGCACATCGGACACTCTCTCAGTTGTGACGTGCACAGCGAACAGAACCCTCTGGAACATTTATTTTACATGTTTTAGTTACCACTACTTGTTAAACATAATTTGTGGATGAAAATGGAATGGTAAATCTGTGCTATTGGTTTATGCTAATGGAGCACCAGTGAAGGATAATAGGTGAGAATAAATAATGCCAGTTGACATACCGTTACTAATTTTAAAAGGAATTAACTATAGAGGGAAGTATGAATCGACAGATAATTTATACCGTGTCAGATATCTAATTAGATGTTTTACTTATATTAATACTTATTTTACTGATAAAGGACATTCATATGACAATTGATTGATGATAAGAATTGGAGTTTAAAACTATTAGGTCCTCTCTCAGTTTCATCTACATCCAGTCTGTAATTTCTTTATTATATATACTATTTAAAAATGATCAATATTTAAGAACATTGGCGTTAACAAATCCATTAATTAAATTCATTAACAGAAAAACATACCTATGTCCACATGGTATCAACACACAGCATGCGGTATCATCGAAACAAAGTGTGCATGAGTCTTCTTTCACGCTAGAACATCTGAGTTGCTCTAAATATATCCTTCTTGGGACAACCTGCACAAAAAATTGCGTTTTAGTGATTTTTAAATTAAGTGCACTTTTGATTAGCTGTATCGTTATCATTGTTAAGTCTTAAATAAGTAACAAACAGTTTTCAGTTGTCGAGCAACATTCATTGTTGCTTTGTTGTATTTCAGATTATAAGATAAAAAACAAGTTTTATAGGTATTAGATATAATTTATTTGATTTGATAATGGCAGAAGCTGTACTGTGGATATTAGATAATTCATAGACATATTAAATATTAAATACATTACAAGACAATGTTAAGATAAATGCAAACAGTTATATTAATGAACACAAATATTTGTATTATGCGAGAATTGAAGCCACGACTACCGAAGGGATTTTCTAGTGCCAGAACAATTTACAATGGATGAATGGTAAGAGTTTAATGAAAATCAACTCATACCTTTTTCTGTTCATCAGTGAGATGTCCATGGTCGTTGAAAGACGAGAACGGTCTGTCTGTGGGCGGATATTTGAATGGCTCGTTGCCGAAGTTAAATCTACACTGTTGGAATGCCATGAAGCTTGCTGCCGCGAAGAAGCCCAATCTGACGAATGAAGTAAAATAATTGTAATTTTATTTAGATTAAGTAATCTATTTAACTCATGATCATGGTTGGTGCAATTTGGACTTATATAAAAGATTGTATTAATTCGTATTACATTTAAACCATTATATTAATATTATAAAGATGAAAGGTTTGTTTGTAATGGATACACTCAAAAATTACTTAACTGATTTTTAAAAATTTTCACCTATAGAAAAATACTTATAATAGCACGTAATATTGATTTTCAAAGATTCCTAGTAATAGCTAGTAAACGATAAACGCAAAAGTATATAAGATAAAATTATTATTACTAAATTCCCACCTTTAAGTTAGACTTACAAATACATATGTAAGGCTAATTAAAAAGTGGGAATATTTATTAATGCAATATGAATGTTTTGATTCTTGGCACTAACTGGTCTACTAATCAATATTTAAATTATATTTTTTTACGCAATTTAGAATGGAGAACAAGCTAACGACCTACCTGATGGAAAATTGTAACCGACACCTATAGACATGAACAGTACTATGGATATAACATACTGCGTTGCCCATGATACTCTTCATGCGTTGCCATTCCTGAGGACTAAGGTGTTACACCTCTATAACCTATAATTTCACTGCCATCCTTCAAACCGAAACACAGCCATGATAACACAACTGCTCTACGGTAGAAACATGAATGGGACAGAGATTTGGGCACCTTTTTGGCAAACGAATTTTGTACAAAGTATCTGTTTGATATTTCTATATCTATGTAAAGATATAGGCTATTTTTTATCTTAGTCAATCAATATAGGTGATACAGGTATACCAGACAAATTCGCAAGTAACTAGTTATATATTTTGAAAGTTGGTAAGGTTTTTTTTTTAAACAAGATTTCTCTTATTATTATTTATTTAATTTTATCCTATTTAAATACATAGGATTAAAGCCCATTATTACAAGATTGTATATTAAGTATGTCAATGTAGAAGTAAATACAGATTATAATTGGTTCTGATGAGACATAATTTCTACAATAGAATTTCTAAGTCTTACCTAGTTGTCTCAAAGATTTCTTTACATGGCTGGATCCGTAATCCATTAATTGAGAATATAACTTCTTTGGAGTTCATATCTATCAGGCAGCCGAGGACGTCGCCAGGCCTCCACGCGGGCACCTCGGCTACTGCGGATGGCCTCGCCTTGTACCACACTAGTTTACGGCAACCGTCGTACGACAATGAATAAAGATCATCGCCGATGCCGTATCCTTCCTATTTTTATATAAAAAATATATTTAATATGTATGATACAGAAAATTATTAAAAATATTGTAAAAAAAAAATATTTATCAGAGGAAGGCAAAAGTCGTCTACACCTCACTCGTGTTTCTGCCAGAAATAATTATCACAGAATAATACACTGTGACGATCGTGGTATGTCTCAGGCATTGCCATTCCTGACGACTACAGTGCTATATGTTCGTACCCTATACTATTACAGCGATATCTTATACTTCAAACTAAAGCACAAGTTGTTTTACAGCAAAATCACAGCCAGTGGAACAGAGATTTTCATGGAAATTGATCTTTAAGAAATTAAAGGTTTACTTTAAAATATGTTAATAGATGAAAATATAATCAAAGATTGTATAATAATTAGGTCAAAATAGCTATTTGACATTAATCATAATGCAATTTATTTCATATATCCATCCAATAGAGTTCAATAAGAATTATTAGCTGAACTATGAACATGATATATGAACTTACATGATTGAGGAAATGGCTATTCTTGGTCGCCCATCCGATCTGCATAACACCGGGCGTGATTATCACCGATTCGTAGTACCAACAGCCGTCGTCCACTTGGAATGTGCACCGGACGCTTTCGAACGAGTTCGAGTCGCACCTCGCCTCCAGACCATTGCATGATATCTTGAGATATTCGCTCACGTCGTGCGAATTCAGTATAACATTTATTCCGGTCATGTCAACTAGTTCGTATGACAATTTTCTATCGTCTATTATAACTGTAATATTTTTGTTTAATAAATTATTAAATATTTAAAAATAAATTACACCGCGTCATGGTTCTAAAATAACAGATTTTATGCTAAGTATACTAGACAACAAATAGCTATATTTAAATGCTTTTCTTAAATGTATTGAATTTATTAATGTAAAACATAAATAAAATAAATACTACTGGACATATTAAACAGAGAATCTGGTCCTAAACAAAGCAGAGCCTTTGCTATGGGTGTACTCAATAACCAGTAGCAATACTTATTTTTTTGTAAATACACATTATACATAGAAAACTTTCATATCAAAGCACAAAAATACTCATGAATACTAATATTTATATTGTGCGGGGATCGAACCCGTGACTATCGAAGTTGAGGTCATATTTGAAACCGCTACATCACTATGGTAATTTTATATATATTTGGTTATCAACAAGTAGCTTTTATAAAATTTAAGCAAGTAGTTCAGCAGTGACACGTGCAGTTTTGCATATATACGAGGTCTGTCCGGAAAGTTCGTATAAAAGTGTTCTGGAATGCGAGAAAGAGGAGTGGGGAGGCCAGGTAAGCGCAGGACCCCTTCCTTATGTCCCTAACAATGCTTCAGTTCTGGTCTGACCGCCGTGCGGTGCGAACTGGCTTGTCACGCCATCTGTGAAGTTACCTCTTAACGAAACCCCGTCGGCATGGAGCCCGCTTCCGTTGAAGAGCAGCGCGTCGTAATCAAGTTTCTCTCGAAACTCGGCAAGAATGGCCGTGAAAGCAAAGAGTGGAAGACATTTTGTTGATTGTTTTTTTCGATGTTCGGGGGATTGTCCATCAAGAATTCGTCCCTCCAGGCCAGACAGTTGATGGAAAATTCTACGTCGATGTGCTCAGACGCCTCAAAGCTCGTGTGGCACGAGTTCGTCCAGAATTGGCGCGAGAGGGGCGTTGGATTCTTCACCACGACAATGCCCCTGCCCACACCTCTCTTGTTGTCCGTGAGTTTTTGAGTAAAAATTCCATTACGGTGACCGAACACCCCCCCTATTCGCCGGATTTGGCCCCGTGTGACTTCTTCTTGTTCCCAAAAACCAAATTGGTACTTCGGGGGCGGCATTTGGGGGACATAAATGAGATAAAAAAAGCTACGACGGGGCAGCTGAGAAACCTACAACCAGAGGACTTTCAAGGAGCCTTCTCACAGTGGAAACGGCGTTGGCACAAGTGCATTATGTCACAGGGGGAGTACTTTGAAGGGGATAAAATTGATTTACCTGAATAATTGTAAAATAAAATTTTTAAAAACTTTTATACGTACTTTCCGGACAAACCTCGTATTGTAGTGTTGTCTATGTCTATCAATATCCATTTTCAAAACCCATAGACAAGAAAATTAGATGCCAAGTTTTAGCTCGATTGATTTACTAATAAAATACTTGTTGTAATTTAATTATTAATCAGTGAGTAATTGAATTTTGCTTACAACTAAATTTATAATTTAATTGTTCATTACAATATCTCGCTGTAAGAAGATATCTGGTTAGCATAATCATATTTGTTTACTTGGTTTTCTACTGTCTACAAGTATATATGATTATTAACACAGTTTATTATTTAGAATTTTAAAATTATATTATTATAATCTTAAGCTTTTTCCTTTTATTGTAGTTAGAGACGAAAGGTATTTAACATTGTTTCTGATATTTTTTCTAATAATAAGGTTTATTGATATATCTTCGAAGCTGAGTATTTTGATTCATGGGAACTATAATGAGACAAATGAATTTGGATGAAGAAAAATACATACATTTCACTTGATTCATAAGTGATTAGGTTCGCTAGATAAGCAAATGATTTATATATAGATACGATACGATTTACACCACCGCAAACATGGAAAAGAACAAGATGCCCAATGTTATGTCTCGTTTTATCTTATGTACACAGTAAACATATGTACAAATAGATTTGTTTGCTACTTGCCTAGTGTCTGGCGAGAAGGTAGATTTATATAACAAATATTGAAACAATTTACTTACATAAGTTATCTAACGCCCATTTAGCACAGAACCCAACCTGCCTCCACATATGGTCCTCGTTATTCGCCAGGCGCTCCAGCACCAATAAAGGATTCTCTGGTTCACGTTCAAGCCGACTTTTTATTGTTAATTTATTTTCAGTAGTGTGCGCGAATTTCTCCAAAGCAATCAGCGCAAACAGAACAATGCAAGCATCACGTTTCGTTATCTGGCAAAGAAATGAGTATAGGTATTTATTAATTCCTATAGATAAATACAGAAGTTTATTTTTTCCATTAGTCATTTTATTGTCACTTCGTACTTATTAATGATTAATAACTTTTGCAGTTAATAATATAAAGTAATATCAGAGCTAAGATAATTTAGTTTAAAAGTATACTTTGTAGACATATATTTTGTAAACATTTAAATTCCAATTTCAATTTAAATTTAGTCTCGGCATAGAATGACCACCCCTTCCTTTCCCGTGGGTGTCGTAAGAGCGAGGAATGGCCAGCAGCATCTCTCGTAAAACATCTCTAAAGTCTAATTGCGGCTACTAATCCGTCTGCCAAACGTGGCAACTACTGGCAAAACCCCCGAATGAGAGGCTTATGTTTGGCAGCGGACAGTTAAAAGCTAATTATGATATATATAAGATAAATAAAATTTGTTACCTAGTCACGCGTAAATGGCTGAACAAATTTGAATGTTTGGTACATGTAACTTATTATATGCATTATGTATTTTATAAATATTCTGTGTATACATCTATTTTGCGCGCAATAAAGAGTTCGTTATGTTATAAACTGATGTGCATGGCACAAAGCAACGGGGAATAGCTAGTATAAAAATACATACCAGGAATGTTAGTAGGTAGTCAAGCGTGTTCTCTGTAAGCACAGCAATGCTGTTGGGTCCCGCGAGTTTCTCTGCTATGCAGCCGAGTACCACACAGATGTTCCTCTCGACTCGAACATTCAACTCGCCAGTGTTGGCACGGTCAGACGACAGCCCGAATAACTGAGTCACCTGTAGTGATAACATTAATTTATGACAATTGTTTCCACTTCCAAAGGCGGCGTGTAGACATGAGACGACATATGAACTTAATATTTAAGAAAGCCTGAAGATAATCACATAATTAGTATTATTATATTATTTTGGCCTCTTAGAAAACCTACGGGAAAGGAAGGGGTGGTCCATTCTATGCTGTGTAACTCCGGCATAGAATGGACATAATTAGTAAGAGTATCATTATTTAAATCTATTCACCATTGGTGTATAGCTGTTTAAAACATTGCTTTGATTTCACACAATACAAACATGTGTTATACATTATAAATATGTATATGTGTACTGGGAAATTTCTAAAGCTAGATTCACACTATACTGAAGTTCACGATTGGTCTCAGCCTGTAAAATATTATTATTAATTACTTCGAGATGATTATGACTAGAATGGAACGCTTTTGGAAATTAACGGTTACTTATAGATATTTTATTTGGTTTGGTCATTTGGAGAGGATGGATGAAAGAAGAATTACGAAAGAGATTTATCGAGCAAGAATGAATGGAGATGTCGGTAGGGGCCGCCCTAGACGGACGTATGTCGACCAAATAGGTGACGTGCTGAAGAAGGGCCAAATTAAAAGTACCCGTAACCGGCGAGCGTGTATAAAAAGATTGATGAATGTGGAAGAAGCGAAAGAGGTTTGTTTGAATTGAAGCATTTGGCGTTCCATTGTTTCTGCCTACCCTAATGGGAGACAGGCGTGACAGATATGTATGTATGTATGTATTTTATTAGATCAAGATTGAACCATGACTGACATTATAAATATTCTATTTCATATTGGATTAAATTTAATTGAGGAGACGTGAAACATCAGTTGTTTTTGGGAGTACGAAAAAAGTATTTGGTAAAATCACATGTTATTTATGAATAAAATCTATTATAACGTTACATGAAGCCGTTCCGGGAAAGTGAACAGGAAATTACAAAAAGGAATGAGAAATCCTACATCTGAAACCATAAACAAGGAAACTATGCAATAAATAGATTACAAGCATATTCCGCTGTCTATAGAATACATATCTGTATCTATTAATTTCTCAAATGATTGATCAATTATCCTATTATAAACATGAAATATTACAAAAATGATTGGATGTAAATTATAGAAATTTAGTTCACAGGTAAGTTATATCGCTATATCTCTCTATGAGAATGGCTGAGATGATGATGAAGATGGTGATTATGATAATACACTCTATACATAAATTTAGTTAAGCAACGCGGCAGGAAACAGCTAGTAGTAATAAGTTTACGCCAGGGATATTTTATATATCGATTCATGTGAGCAAAGCAGTAGAAAACAATAAGCAGTAGCTAAATTTAAGAATTTGTTTTTTCTCAGGTATTAATATTTCATGAAATGATATTAATTCATGAATTTCTTTATTTTAATTCTCATGGAAAAATCTACAAATGTAATATTTTTTTACATACTGCACTTTTGCTATTAAAATAATTTTTATGAAAACATAAATAACTATGAAAATATAAGATGTTAGAGATAAGAGAACAGCGGCATGACTTTTGTTATGATCGACAAGCGATCAAATTAAAATAAGATCGAATAGACGTCAAATATAACATCTATTTAAAAGGATTTTGATTTTATTCCAAATAAAAAACATTTTAATATTTACTTACCCTTATAACTGACTCTTTGGACGGCAGAGGGCAGTCGTCAAATAAAATCGTGATGGCAGAAGGGCCGAACGGATCTTCCAAGGGAATCACATTGACCATGGACGACACCACTTGGATCCACCCGTCTTCTTTGTCAGCTATCACGTGGAGCTTCACCAATGAAACAGGAGACTCTTCATCACTGAAATCATAGTTTACTTTTAGTTATTTTTCGTTGTTGGTAAAATGAAATTAGTGTCAATGTTTACATATAATATTATTTTTTTTTATAAAAATTACATATTTATCTCACAAGTGGTTCCCCCGATTCAGCCCGCGTGACCGGTATACATTAAGAGCGTTCATAACGAAGTATGGCAAAGCCGCAATTATCTGTCAATTTTCAAAAACAATTGAATGTTTTTCAATGTTTCTGATTCATTTATGCAAATAATACAAAAGCCTCTTTGAGGGCAAAGCAATAAACTGAACTGTGACCATTTTGTATTATTGTGTCACACTCATGAAATGAAGAATTACGTTAATTCTTTTATGTATTTATCTGTTTTTTTTTATATGTATTCTATTATTTCTTTTTTGCCTTACGTATATATTTTTTTATATATTATATCTATTTACAGTCAAAAACATAATATTAGTAAGGATATATTAATAGTCTCCCAATGTGTCAATGTATGAATATGCAGTATGAATGCTCTTAACTGATCAGGATAATAAGTGGTCTATATCCTCCTCCAATCAAAACACTAAAATCTTAGATTATACTAAAATGGATACCAAATTTCATAACAATCAATAAAACCGTTAAGGCGCTAAGAGATATTTATAATTATAATATTAGTAAAGACTATTGAGGATTCAAGAATTTAATTTCTTTTATTATTAACATAAATTATTGTTTTCTTTGGTTCAAGTAACTACCACCTAGTGTTCTTGACTGACGACGAATAAAAAGTATTCTATACTAGCTGTATTCCACAGTATTGCCCGCGTGAATCGGTAGATAAGGTATCCTATGTACTCAATTAGGCGTAACCTTGTATCTAATTCCATTAAAATCCGTTCAGTAGTTTTTGCGTGAAAGAGTAATATATCTCTGTATTAATATATTATTATATTATAAATGTAAAAGTGAGTCTGTCTGTTACCTCTTAGTGCTTATCGGTTTAATCAATTTCTATGAAATTTGGTATACCCATATTGTAAAGAATGGAGATGAATAAACGGACGAAGGCGCAGGTAAAACTTATATATACTTTAATATATATCAATATGGCCTAAATATGTCCTAAATGGTCCTTAGAATAGACAAGTTATGGGAAATATAAGAAAATCATTGTACTATTACTAGCGTCCTTAATAACTTGACCTACTACATTATATAATTTAATTGTACAATTAAGGTCATGGTGCAATATATTAGCCAAGCAATAAATTGCAAGATAATAGATAATACACAGGATATTGGTAAAGTACGCACATTTAAATTATCCACATTTTGGATTAGCATTCGCAAATACATAGCTTCATTATTAATACATTGCATGCACGCATACATCTTAGAATAACACTAAATAATAGAAGGCTGAGAGTACTTATTTTACAAAATAACTGTGCTTGCTACTTCAATCGCAAAGCACTCGACGTATAACGATATTTCCATTTACACTATGTTGTATTTTTTTATAAACATGGCTATTCAATTAACAAGAACTTGTAACACGTGAAATGTATTACATGATTCCACATAATAAAAGGATCAAACTGTATTGACCGATTTTGACAAAAAAAATACACTATTTTGTAAAGAATCGAGACACAATAAGTATAATACACATATTGATTTGAAGTGGCAAAGAAAGAGGGATGCCATGGGGTATTATTAATTAAATATCTATATTTATAAACGACGTTTATCACCTTCTAATCGATTCTTTATTAGAGAATGATAACGGTCGTCGTGCTTACAATTCTTAGATTAGTATTAAATGCAAATGTGCACGTTCCAGTTTGTATGTATGAATACTGCGTGTTCATATCCTTACACAGAATACGTTATCAGTTTATATCGCGTGTGCATCTTTTGTATCAATGATGAAATGCAAACTCAATGCACGGGAAGAGAGCAACTACTTAAACTGATAAGTAACATAGTAACGAGCAAATAGAATATTGCCTTATAAATGGGTGATAGAATAATTAAATATGACTGTTTAAAAATGTTTGTAATTATCAATGTTAATAATTACAGTATAATTGAATTAAATTTATTTTTATTCTTAAATACATACATACATATATATCTGTCACGTCTATCTCCCATTAGGATAGGCAGAAACAATGCAAAGCCAAATGAATTGATTCTAATTAATTTATAATTTACTGTGTTTCAGATTTAAAGTAGGGATCTGGTAGTGAATTTACGGGATTCGAAGGTATATCGTAGTCCTCAGGAATGGCAATGCAAGCATGTTGCTGTTCATGTCTACAGGCAACAGACTTTCCATTAGGTTGTCCGTCAGCTTGTTTGATGTTATTGTATATAAATGTCCTTATGATGTTATTATAGTGACAAAATGTAACAAAACACCACTTCTATTATCTATCAATGATCACTTCTATTATTTTATTATTTCAGCCGTTGACTGATCGCTACTGGACATAAGCTTTTCCCATAAGGATCGTTTTGTCAGTAGTTGCCATGCTTGGCAGGCGGGTTGTCAACCACAGACGCTCCCCTCCCTTAGTTGCCTCTTACGACACCCACGGGATAAGAAGGGATGACCCATTGTATACCGAGACACACATGGCAGTTTTTTACAGCACTACTATTATTTACCTTAGGACTATATGATATTACAGGATTTTACCATCAGGTTATAATAGGGCAGCAAAATGTATGCAAATGTATGGAGACATTTAGTTTTCTGCAATGGTATCGTGACCCAGTAGAGAAAACAGAAAGCGTTTCCATATATTTGCATATCTTTTGTTCTTTTATTATATCGCGACGATAAAATTAACAGTAAGGCAGGACGACATCGTGTCACTTACCCATTGTGAGCAAACCAGCTAGACATAGCTATAGGGTCCCGTGATAACGCTATTTGCTTGTTTTGTTAATATTTTAGTTTCCTAATAATTAGGTCTTTCAATTTTGCAGACAAAAACAATAATAAAAACAAAAATAACAATAATATTGTAAATGGCAATGACATCAACATTCGCATTAACAGCATAAAAATCTAAACTAATATTATAAAAAATAAAGATTTGATTTTAAGTTTGTAGTGGATAAACTCAAGAAATAATGAACCGATTCTAATAATTCTTATATCCATAGAAAGTTACATTGTCAGTGAGTAACATTGGCTGTATTATACTTAAAAAAACAATTCGATGCCGGGGCGGATTGCTAGTATAAACAAACATAAAACTTTGTATGATTGTGTATTTTATCGGAAGGAAACTACGCAGTTTGGCGTATTAATTTCTTCCTTTCCCCTTAATAATTTACAAAACATGTAGCTATTTTGGTTTCAAGTTCCCGAGATTTCATTATTTATAAGCGAGTGGAGGAGTTGGAAATTATAAATAATTCCCAACCATACCACTCCTTTATAACTCGCGAACAATGTTATGGACAGAATAAAAGTAAGCGTACAAACAGACTGATCGATTTTTAAGAATTAGTACAGTAGGTACATACGAATTATTTTAAAACATATAAGGCGCTGGCGCTTAGAAAAAAAAAAACTCGCCCGGAGCAGAATACAAGTATTTATTTGCATAATGCTGTAAATTGTTATTCTCCGATCAGTCGCAACGCTGTTCAAAGGTCCATAATTTTGTTTGTTTCAAATCTATATACTGGTTAAGTATAATTTTATGTAGTTAACCAAATTGCCATTGTATTAACAGCATTTGAACATGTCCTCTCTACAAGCGAAAAAATATTAACATATTATTATCACACCGGCCAGGCGACTTCGGTCCAGGTATCTTCTTATAGCGCTAGTAGTATGAATCCGAACGAAAGACTTTTAATACTTGGAATGGTAAACAATCTAATGCTCTACCTGATTAAAAATGGTGTCGCTGTTAACTATACTCATGATTGTGAATATAAAAAAATATAATGTGACAGCCATGGTATTCATATATTGCCATAGGATGGCAGATATGGTTATGGGTATGGTAGATTAGGCTTTATTAACAAATCTACAGGACTAGAGGTTTTAAAATAAAAACTATAAAAAGAGGTATTAAAATGGCTCTATAACTAGTAATGTTACATTAGAATAATAGTTTTTAAACATGAGCAGTAAGAAGAAAATATATGTCCTTACTTGTCAACAAATGAAGCTATCAACTTGAGCATCTCTAGGACTAGCTGATCCACAATGATGGAGTCAACAACTTTTGGCATGCGCACCCTCGGCTCCACTGAAGCCAGGGACGCCGCAGCTGTTGCTGCGGTTGGTGCATACGCCCCTCCTTCATGTGGTGCCTTGTCTTTGCACCAACACAGGCCCATTACCTATGAATAATGATGTTTATATAAGAATAACATTTAATTACATAAAGGTTATTATGTACATATAAAATTATTTCTTATATACTTATCTAAATACTTACATTATTTACAAATTTTAAAAAATACAAACCTACCAATATCTCTTACAGGAGACAAAGAAAATATCCTAATTCAGAATTTGTTGCAAATTTAATAAAACCAAAAATATATATACTCTACTACTCTCGATATACTGAAGTGTAAATTATTTTTTATTTGTAATATATTTTCATACAGGGAAAGACTTATTTATGTAACTTAAAAGAAAATAAGAAAAAAAATCTACAACAATTTTAAGAAATGTTAAAAGCAAAGTGCTTACAAAATATATGTTAGTAAAACAATAAGTAAAACATTCCAATACTATAAAATAAAAACAATTTATTGTTACCTTTTTAATTAAGTTTTAGAATCTATAGTCTAAATGTTTTTATTTTGTTTATTTCTTTTTCATTATCATATTAATTTATTATTAAAATTATTTATTTTTAATAAATCATGTTTAAAGCACACTATTGATTTTAATTCTCAAATACAGAATTCAATAAAAATCAATTTGAATCCTTCAAACTATAAAACCAAATCCATTTTAAATGTAAAAAAATTAAATAAGTATGTCTTATCCTTAAATAAAATCTCTCTTGCCTATATACAACAAATTGTAAGGAATAATACATACACAAACACATACAAAAAGTACAATTAATTTTGGAAAGTATTACTTTTTAAAATTGGTTTAAATTTTTTGTTAAGTCCTAATTAAGTGGATCAATTGATAGCTCTGTACAGATTACTAAAATAATTGGAGATTTATTTTAATTGTGCCTGTTCCTTTTTGGTTTTTATTTTTATATAATCAAGAATAACAAACTAGCCAAATATCTATTTGATGGAAAGTGGTTCGTCGCCTCAGATATAAACAGCAAAAGACTTTTTGAAATAATGCCCTTCATGATGCAACCAAAGCTAATGCTCGAATATTATCTCATATTAATTCATGTAAATATGAATATAAAAAAAATAGTTGATTGAAAGTGTTTTCGAATAAATTCTTTAATAAGTTATCAGTATCAATTAATATCATTTCAGCAATACACATGCAAAAAAATTGCCATCTGTTTAGTCTGAATCATAATACTAGTTTCACTTACCGTAACTTATAATTCATTTCTTCTAATTAATGTGAATCCTTGTAGGCCAGTTATGTGTTCACAAACGTTTCTAATAAAAGAAAATATAATATAAACAAAATATTAAAGAGGTCTTGCGAATAACTTTATTTTTGTAAACAGTCATGAATACCTAAGAGTGAAATGTCAATTGCTCCCAGCCAGCCGTCCGTCAACCCGTCATATATAGTTAGTTTTTTTTATTAATGTCTATGGCACAAGCAGATTGCGTTTAGTTTATGGCTGACTATGTCTAACGTCTTTGTTCAAAATCGAACTTTTATGTAACGATAATTAGTAAAAAAGATAATTAGTTGTGAATATTTAAAAAACTGAATTTCCTTTAAATTGTATTTTTTGGTTCGTTTTGGAAACAGTCGTGATGAGTAATATATTTTTTATCCAATTTTTATATTTTTTGTAAAGTATACACGCAGTGTATTGAAAATAATTCTTTCCCCTTTTTGGAATGTATATTTTGCAAACAGCATGACATGCTTACTGAATGAATGATTGTTTTTGATATTTCGTATTATATATCTAATTAAAACAAACCACCAAGTGATAATACCGCCTCTGCAGAGCAGTATAAGAACTAAAGTTATTCATTTGTTCTGTTTTTCACCATTTGTTAGTAGATGGCACTGTTTGTCTGAAAAAAGTGCATTTCAAGTAGTTTTATTGTTTTTATGTTGTATATAAGAAAATATTAAAGATAAAAAACAATATATGAATACTATAAAAATATGAAGACAAATGTATATATAAAAAAGTATGTGATTTATGTGTGTATATTTTTTGTAAGTATATTATTTTATATGTTTGTATGTTTATTTATTATAAATTGTTATCTCTTAAAATATTTATTTAATTTTCTTTTTTTTTTAATCTATGCACCGCTATATGCTCTCTCTGTTTGGCGTGGCGATTGACTGGTGTAAATGCCATCAGGCATTAAATCCGCCTTGTAGACATTTTTCAATGTGTGCAAAATAAAACAAATAAAAAATTTTTTTATCATTATTTTATGCTAGTACCAAAGAATGAAGGGTAAACTACTCTTCATTCTTTGGTTTCTTCATTTCTGATATTTATATAGATATGTATGCAAATCCAAGTACCGGGGGGAAAGGGAAACCATTATGTTTAATTCTTGTCGAATTAATCAAGGTCGGCCAATTGACCTGCATTCATTCTCATCTATTTCTGCTATCATCTTTCACTGGTGCCTCGTCGGTGTATACCAATAGCGCGGGCGGGGTTACCATTCCATTTTCACCCATTAAAAAAAATCCATGTACTTTGTTAAATTTAAATGAATAAGACGTCGTTTGATTTATTTATATCTAACAATTACAATTATACATAATGAGCTTAGATTATCTTTATAATTTGTATAAAGACACTTATGTCGCTATAAAATGCTTTTAAAAAATAAGATAACATTTTTTATATAGTACGTGTGTATGATAGGGTTACCGGATTAGAAATTATTACTTTAGATTAAGGTAAATAAGTGTAGGTTGTAATTTAAAATATTATTAGTATGTATATCCTTTATAATATTTATGGATGATAATAGAATGTTAACCCCGCTTGCGCTATTGGTATATACTGGCGGGGCACCAGTGAGGGATAATAGGTAAGGATGAAGCAAGTCAGTAAGCCTACCGTGACGAATCTAACAATAAATCAATTACGATGGTTTCCAGGGCGAACCACGAGGAGGTCGACTCGATAGGGTATATCGCTAGCATTGGGGCTACTAATCCTCACTACTAACAATCCCTTCTCCCCCCTATTTATACACGTATTGATTTACATTCTTTATTTATTATCTTTATATTTTAAAGAATGCGTTAGGTAGAAAGCTATAATTCTTTTATATTGCTTTAAAAATTAGTAATAATCTTCAGATATTGATTTTGAAACCAATCGTTTATGTAACAAAAATTCTTTTGATAATATATATAATTTAAAATACCCTTCCTGAAGTTATTTGAAAATTATGATTGTTTTATTAAACAGACATGAACAATTCAATTCATATTGAAAAAAATATTTTATTAAATATTAAATGATAAATGTTTTAAAATAACAAAGTTTTTGTCTGTACCCTTTCTAATAAAGAGTAAGAAAGTGAAAAAAAAAAAAGTTTGGAAATTACTTTTATAAATATAATTTTTGTTGAATTTGATGAATTCCAGATAATTTATCATATTGAAGACTAGGCAGCATGGTCTCCGACCTTAGCCTGTTCCACAACGGAAAAATAGTACTAAAAAAAAGAATTTAATGAATTTGGTAAATGTAATAAAACTTCTATTTACATTTTATGATCTATAAGTATTAAACTAAAAGAGGAAAGATTTGTTTGTTTGTAATAAACCCAAAAACTACACAATCGATTTAAAACGATTCTTTTATTTATAGAAGAATTTATCAATATATGCTGTGTTTGCCTATAAAAATTGTTACACTTAGTTCTAAGCTCCATAATTGTGTATATATTTACATTATTTTGTTGAAACAATTGTTGGTGAACCTAAATAAATAAATGTAAAGTTTTATTTATCTATAATCTTCTTACCTATAATCTTTTTCCCATATAAATTGAATTATTTGTGATATTATTTGTTATATCTATGTTATTTTTTTACATAATATAATATTTATGTATGTACATAGAGATATTATTGAGTATTATACAGACTATTTGTACAGACTACACTAAATTTTCTCATCAAAAATTCCTTAAAGTTTGAAGACGAAGGTCTTTAACCAGTGCGTGTTGCCAGTGACGACTTACGGAACCGCAACATGGCCTTACACGGATACCCGCATATATAAGCTTCAAATAATTCAACGAGATATGGAGAGGACTATGCTCGGAGTTTCTTTGTGTGACAAAATCGGATATGAGGATATCTGCAGAAGAATCAAAGTGACCGATATAGCTCGAAGGATAAGCAAGTTAAAATGGCAATGGACTGGTCACATAATTTGAAGAACCGAGAACCGATAGAAAAGTTCTTGAGTGGCAACTGCAGTGTAGGACAGCCCCACAAGACGGAGTGACGACCTCAAATGCATTGGAGGAAGTCAGTAGATGCAGGTGGTTCAGGACCAATATTTATGGCGGTCTATGGGGGACGCCTATGTTCAGCCATAGACTTAGTATAAAGTTATGACTAGAGTAGACTAAAGACTTATGTTCTAAGTGTTTAGCAATGAACAGATAACGGCTGAAATGATGATTCAAAATCGATATCAGAGGATCTCTATACACTTGAAATATGGATCTGATGACAGAAATAATAAAAATGACCGCCATTTTTATTTTATTTGTTATTTGATCGATTATATTCAAAATAGATATCTGAAGATCCGTATACATTTCAAATATGGATTCGGTGCCAGAATTAATCAATACGGCCGCCATTTTAATTTTCTTTGTTTATTGACCGATTGCTTTCAAAATCGATATCCAAGGATCTGTATATACTTCAAGTATGGATACTCTGTCAGAAATTATCAAAATGCAAGCTATTTTTATTCAAAGTGATAAAAGTATTTATTTGGATAAGGATGAACAAAATAGCAATAACATAACTTTAAAATAAAATGCACTTCAATAATTTTTACATTTAGTCAATTTAATTATAATTAATAATTTTTTTTTATAACACAGTAAGCAAACAAGCATGCGGCTCACCTGTTAGTAAGTGACTGCTGCTGCCCATGATCACCTGTAACACTAAAGGCGCCGCAGGTGGTTTAATTCAGTATTTTATTTATTTAATTAGTAAATAAATAAACATATAAAAATTATACCATTATACATATACTTTTAACATATTTTATATAAATATTCATATATGAAATTTCCCGTGTAATTCTGGTACAGAGTAGATCACCCCTTCCTTTCTTAAGGGTGTCGTAAGTGCCAATTAAGGGAACTTAATGGTCGAGGGATGGGCAGCAGTGTCCTTCTTAAAACATCCACAAAAGCCTAATTGCGGTTTCCGACTCGTCTGACAATCGTCAAACTTATGGTAAAACTATTTTCTTCCTAAAGTCAAATATTAGGAGGCTATTTCTTTTTAATGGCAAATATTAGGAAGAAATAGCCTCCGGTCACTGGCGGCTTCGCTATTCCTCACTAACGTAGCTGTAACGGTGGAGTAAGTAGTGTAAATAATTTCTTACAGAGAAGAAATTTGGCTTACCACAAAAAACAACTGGACCTGGCTATATATAACGCACGAATTTCGAGGACTGATGAGAAGTGATATCGACATTGGAATATTATAGGATTATCGGAAATCTGCTGACAGGGGGAGAATATGATAATCCTTGAAATCAATACATCAATAATATATTACTTTTATTATTTATGAGCTATATCCCACGGCTTTATCCTCGTAAATTAGTATATCTATAAATTATCCAATGACCTAAATTAAGATATATTTATCCTGCTGGTGTATTAAATTTCGTTCAAATCCGGCCAGTAGTTAACGCGTGAAAGAGGAATCCATCCATCCACCGTTACAAACTTGCATTTATAATATTAATACCACAAGAATTTTCTCGTAGTATTAATATTATTACGTTTCTATCTACTTCTTGTAACCAAATTGTTGAAAAATTTTTCGCAGCAAAAATGTAGGAAAATGTTTAAATGCGGTAATGCGCGATGCGGGACTGCAAACTCAAGTTCCTTATTTTGATAATTTTGTCATAATATGAAAACCCTCTTTCCTTCTCATTTTCTCAATGTTCTCTTCAAATTGTTTATATTTTGAATATTATGTGGTAAAAGTAGAAAAAGAAAAAAAGTTGTTTTCTTTCAGCAAACCCACAATAATCAACTAAATACTTGTATTTATGTTTTTTGAATAAAATAAAACAGTAGCTATGAAAAAGCCGAATCAAAAATAAAAAATAAATAGTTTATGTAAATCTTTGAAACTACATACATATATTTTGTTTGATTTATCTGAAAATTGTGCAGATAACACATATAGTTTATGTATTTAAAATAAAAATATATCTTATTTATCTTGTATTTTCTTTAATATTTGCTTTTAAATCTTTAACGGAATCAATATACGCACTTACTAAAAACACCAGTGTATATCTATATTACTAAAAAAATAACCAGATTTTCATATTCCTTCG